CTTTCTGTAAATATAGATTATAGTCTTGTATTTTACAAACATAGGTGACCACAACTATGCACATTATTCTAAATGGGAATAGTGCCTTATACAGTGATACCAGTATTTTCTTGTGCTGTATAGACTGTATTTAAGTACTGTTGTATATACTGTATACACCCTACAATCTAGAATTGCAATAACCTTTTTCATGGCCAGATCACCCTGATGGCTCATGGTGACCTTATGATCAACCAGTTCACTCAGGTCTCTCTCTCCTTCTGCTTCCAGTTTATGAATCCTTATTTTAGAGCATGAGAATGACTGTGTTGGGTCAGAGCAAGAGTCCATCTATCCCAGGATTCTGTATCTCAGGAGTGGGCAAAATGGTGAATCCAGCTGGTGACCAGACTCCATTTCCCAGCAGCCCCTGCCCACATCACTGCGACCAGTTTCCATGCAGACCCGAGCAGTGGTGGGGCCTTGACAGTGCGGGGCCAGGGTTTCCATGGAGACTGACCCCAGCAGCACTGGCAGGGCGCACGGTTGGGTGGGGAGCTGCTCCAGGGCCAGGGCTGAGATCTTGCAGTGGTGACAGTGTGGTCCGGAGATGGCGAAGAACCACAATCTGCTGCTTGCCTGCCCCTGCCTAGGGTAGGTCTCAATGGAAACCCTGGCCCCAAGTTGCCACAACCCCAGTGCTGCTGTGGTCTCCGTGGAACCTGGCTGCAGCAACGTGGGCAGGGGTTGCTGGGAAATGTAGTTGGCTGTGGGCCCGATCTGGCCCATGGGCCAGACTTTGTCCACCCCTGCTGTATTTGATAGTAACAAGTGAAGGATGCTTTAGAGGAAGAGTAATACAAATAGTCCAGATGTAGAGTGATCTAACATGTGAGAGTCTCTCAGATGCTTGCAGTAGGTTATGTCCTAGCTATTATGATTAATAGTCACAGACAGACCTGTTCTCTGAGAAGGAATTAGGCATCTTTACAAATCTGACTATACTGTTGGCTCCACAATATCCTGTGGCAATTAGTTCCACATATTATTTAGGCATTGTGTAAAAATGTATGTTATTTGTCCCTAAAAACATAACTTTGTGCTCCCAAAGTTATTAAATTTCCACCATTTCTAGTGCTCTGGTCTGCCAGGTTGTCTAATATTTCCTATATAATACTTTGGTCCTGCTCCATATTGACAGTTTATCTTCTATTTGTGTCATTTTCAAATTTCATAATCATGCATCTAGTCCCTTCACCAAGGTTGATAATGAAAACGTTAAGCAGAGGCAAGCCCAGAGGAACACTGCTGTAGGAACAGGCAGAAGGAGGAGGAAGAATGGACTTGAGTAGTTGAAGACACACCTTTCCTCCAAATAGGACATCAGATTTGGTCATCCTCCTGTTAATATGGAAGAGGAATGTTACAAGGAACAAGCCTCTAAAGTGTTAATCCCAAAATTCATCTCTTCAATGTGTATTTTCCTAGGTGGCAAAGGACTGAATGCCTGTATACTCAGTAACCAAAACTCTGAGGCATCAACCTTGGAACTTCTTTACTGTATTTACTTGTCAATAAAATGATCAAAGTTAAGATCAAACATATGGCTCATAGGTTGGATATAGCCTGCGGAGGTGGATCATCTGAGCTACTATCTTTTCCCAGGGCTGAAATGAAGGAGCAGAGGGGCAAGAGTCACCTGCTCATAGGGTTCACATTCCCTCATCAGCCTCATCCTGCTGTTGGGGGAGGTGTTGACATGACATCTTCTGTATCAGCCACTAAATATTCTATTCCTTATAGCTGGTGGCGATGGGACTTGGTGGCACTTGGTGATAGGGGTAAGCAGTGGCAGCTACATTTGGAACTGTGCCAGTACCTCCCTTCACAGCAGTGTGAGGCTATGACAGGACGCAAATCCACATTAGTCACCTGGTTGCTGGCTACTTCAAAACCTCTCTGGAGCAGCAGCTTTGGCTGCAGTGTCAGGGCTTTTTGTGTAGCTACCAGAGTCCACCAAGGCCAGAATGGGTGTGGCCTGCAAGCACCTGCAAAGCAGAGAAAATGGTGACTGGACCAATTTGCGTTTGACACAGCTGGCTTAAAATAATGAAATGACACAGAAATTGGGAGCCTTATAATCAAATTTACTGGTGTGAATCACAGATTGTACCTTATCTGTGGCCAACTAATTCATGGTAAAGTCAGGGCAGTTTTAGGCACATTTTTAATAAATAATGTACATATTTCACCAATCTACCATTCTTTTTCCTCCTCTGAAAATGCATAGTTGATACTATGCTGCCATCTAGTGATGAGAAGAGTACCAGAAATGAAATTAAGAGAATGCAATCAGTATATTTGCTTTCCAAAGTGATATTTTGTTTGTACAGTTGTAAGTTATTTCAAAAACTATTTTTATATTGTGTTTCTTTATATTTGTATAGCTCAGGGGCACCCAACTTCTGGCCTGCAGGGCTCTCCACGGGGTAGCGGGGGAGTGGCGGCAGTCAATATTGCCTTCCTACCCCACTGCCAAATTCCCCAAACCCTGTGTGGCAGGTTGGTGCCAGGCCTCCTGCCCCACTCCCTACAACTGGATCAGGACTAGGCAATGCCCCTTTGTCCCCCCTGCCACCCCATGGCTGAATCGGAACTGGGTCATGTTCCCTTCCCTCCTGTAGGGCTGGGTTTGGGTTAGGTGAAGGCCCCTTTCTCTCTTCCCCCACTTTCCCCATGGGGCCATGTCAAACCTTCTTTCCTAACGTGGGGCTGGGCTGCCCCCACTACCACTCCACACAGCCAAATGGGGTACTGCTGTGATCACCCTGAAAGCTCGATCAGGAACACTGGACAGATCTGGCCTGCAGAAAGTCTGTACACTGCCCATCTGACCCACTGGCCAAAAAGGTTGAGCACTACTAGTATAGTTCATAAAGTAACGGAGCATGTATTAAGTTAAGGTTCTAAGTATTCTGTATAAAACACCCATTTCTTTATTATACTGCTCTTAATATAAGGCTTTAGAAAGTTACTCCAAGTTTAAAGTTTGGAACGAAAGCACTAAGTATAACAGAAGAAAGAGAAGTCTGCCAGTGTGGGGCTACTTTTCTAAAGATAAATTAAGCTTTGACTTCTGACTTCAGTTTTCACTTGTTTGCATTATATCCTTGATAGTGTTTTAAACTGCTTTTGAGACTGTCATATGAAGTTACAGTGAGTCTGTATCTTTGATAGAGGGGATGTTGCTGCACAGAAAATATTTCTCATTCCAATCATGCAAATGGTTCAGCTGAACTGGGACTTCAAATTAAGATGAGGTTGCAGTCACAGTTCATCTTCACATAGGTCATTATTTTTCCCTTCTGCACAAAAAGCCAAGGGAAAATACTTCTTCAGAGAGTCAAAGGACCATAGTATATTCCAGCCAGGTCTCAGCATTGCTTTCTCTTCAGAAAAAGGTGGCATAGACCTGGCTGTGTGACAGTGAAAATGTTCCTATGCTAGGAGGATCCTTGCCTACTTATTTAATGCAGGTTTAAGTCCCCTTTGCCCTGCTACATCAGAATAGAGGGGATTTAGCACAGATCAGGACTTGGCCTCTGACTTTTTTAACAAAGTTAAAAATGAGCTTCTGAAGTCCATGGTTTCTCTGGGAAGGTATCTGTTTCTGACAACCTACCTGGGTTGATTTAATTTAATAACTTCTGAAACAAAAAATCTGGATTCTGAAACAAAAATAGTTTCCAGTTGTATTTTTAAAGTGCATACATTTCCCCTCTATCAAATATGTCTATCAGAACTGAGTGACTATGGATTATTTTTTTACAGTGGCAGTTCACTGGAGAGCTCTTTGATCCAACCATACTGGAACATGCTCTTGTTTACTTACTAATAGACAGTTCCCTGAATCTGTCCTTTAGTATAGAGAGAGAAAAGGGAATAGATAGGGCTGTGCAAAGCTTCAGTCCCTGATTCAATTCAGTGGAGATTTGGCCTGATTCAGTTACCAAATTTGCAAATCCAAATAGAATCAGGAGACCCTTTAATCTTTCCAAATTGAATGGGTACCCTCTGAATCAATTTGGAGAGATTCGGAAAGATTTGGATATAGACATGGCTTTAAATGTTTTTTTTCTACATACCTCAAGGTAGCAGGCGGCTCATGAATGGTGGGATGCTGGGGCAGATGCAGCATCCCACAGGAGCATGGGGGACTCCCCAGTGCACTCAGGAGCAGACCCAGAAGTGGACCAGAAGCCCTGCGCCTCAGTGGCTTGGCATCTGGTGCTTCCTGGGTCTAGGGAGGCCCCCCACATGCTCCCCAGCGGACCCAGAAGTGGACTGGAAGTACTTCTGTGGTGTGCTCCATTTGCCCCAGCATTGCAGCATTCACAAGCTGTGCCTGGTACCTTGAGGTATGTAAAAAAAATAAAATAAAAATTTAAAGCTGTGTCTATGGCCGAATCGCCGATTCTCCTTATCGGCATCAAATCTTCAGATTCGGATTCTGCCAAATCAAATTGGGAGCAATGATCCGAATCAATGAATCAAATCACTGTTCCCAATTTAGGCCAAATCCGAATCAAATATGGCCTGTTTCGCACACCCCTAGGAATAGAAGTGGGAAGAGAATTATCAGTGGCAGTCCTAAGTAAGAATACCTGAATTCATATGTGAAAAAGTCTGTATCTGAATATGCATATCTTCTAGTCAAGACTGAAAAGTTCCCTTCTGTTTAGAGTTTCAGTTATCCATCAAGAACAGAAACAATAGTTAGCCAATTACATACTACAGATAACAAATAGTCAATTACCTACTCGTAGTGGATCATTTAAGAACTATCGATGGCAGTCATATGCGTGGTGAAAATTTACAAACAATCAATAAATGAATATGTCAGCTTGGACTAAATACATTTTGGGTAACCCAGTCCACCTGAGGTAAGGGTTTCCTGTAGCTTTTTTGGATTTTGCTGAAAGTCAGTTGCTTATATATATTCACCTGTTTTTCCAATTCAGCATTCAGAGGGCATGGCGTGAATACCTACAGCGCCAGGATATGTTACACCAAGACCCCCTGGAGAAGCGTAGTCCATCACCACCTTCCTTGTCTTCTGACAAGATGAGCAGTTCCATCAGCATGAACACTTTTTCCAATGGCAGCACTCCTGTAAGTACTGCTTCTCTCTTACGTTAACTCTTTCTGCCAGATTCAGAGCAGGAAGTAGTATAAATGAACTATTCAAGTCAGTCAGGAGAAATTTAGCTAGTGGCTAATTATACTGCTAGTTCTTGAAGAACTGAATTTCAGGCATTCTCAAATGTACTTTAAAGCAAGTATGTTTCTTATAAAGCCCTCTGGGATTTCAGCTGCACATCCGACATTTCTTAGGATCATACAGATCTTAGCAATAACAGGTCATAAGCATTTCAGGTAAGAACAGCAGCCTCTACAAGACAAAATATTTCCACTGGTATTTTCTTCTCCTAGAGAAAGTTTGGGTCCTTGGTTAAGCAGTGCTTGGTTTGCTTTGTTAGATGCTGTACAAGAAGATGGGAGAACTTGGTACTGATCCGCAAAATAAGTGAATTGTACCTTCTCTGAAAAGGAGACTCACTTTAAGCCAGTTTAGTGATTGTAAATTATGTTTGATTTTGGAAAGAATATCTGTGCCCTCTGAGAAGAGAGAAATCGGAATAAAAAGTTGTCTAGTGGCATGAGATTTTAATCATTTTAGTAAATCTACAATCCAAATGCAAAATCTAGAGTTTGAAAACATGGGGATTAGAAACAATCTCTAGAGCTCTTTGAGACCAAAAATTAATTAAATTGATATATTAATATTTAAATATTATTCTCATTCTCTGACAAAATAAATTGATTTTGAGCAAACTGTTACAGAGCTGACCTATGTTGCAGGTTGTTCAAATAAAGCAAAAGACATTCTTGTTCTTGGCTGTTTTTTTCATGCCACCTACAAAGTGGAATGCCACAGACCCTACTGCAGTCATATGTTGTTCAAGTACATTGAAGTTACCAAATACTGTCCTTGTGAGCTGACTCACAATGTGAATAGCTCTCTAGAAATTTGGGAAAGCAGTTGATAAATCATTTCTACAGTAAAAAATATTATTCAGTGACTATGGTCACCATCTTTGGCAAAACTGGAAATTAGTTAACAGTTAGAGCTCTAAGACTAGAAATCAAATATGAGTGTTTTGTGTAAGACCTGCTACTTTTGCATAGATACAGCAAAATATCAGTTAATCTCACACTTCTTCTATAGAGGAAAATCTGGCCCTTTTCAGTCCATCCAACTAAATTTCCCAGATAGGCATAAGTTAAATTAGCAGTTTTCTTATAGACATTGTCTTCTGTGATGGTTTCTTAGGTTACACTAGACTTGACAGCATTCAATAAAATATTACTGAGGAAGAATGTGTACTGGTTTATTTTTGCATGTCTTTTGTTCATAGCTGGAGGCTAGTTTCTTAATATTAGAAACTATAGTAGATTATTGGGCTATGAAAGTAATGTCTGTTAAATAGGACAAGATCCTCCTGCTAGCAGAATACATTTAGGATTTGTTTGTGTGTGACACTGGAGTTTGATTGGATATTGTTTATAGATTTTTATACTGGTTTCTTTATCATGGTTTACCATATGCTTAAGCACCACAAGAGGTCTCTCTTGAATGGTTTTGATAGTTCTGTAATTTTATATTTTTCATCAAGTGTAATTTAAATTGGGAAATTATATTCTCAAACTGTTTTTAGTTCTTTAAAGTAATGAACATGTTTACAGTTTTGTGTGAAAAGTTTGTCTCAATTTTGTTTGTTTGTAAGAATATCTTACTTCTGCGATTCCAGACCTCAGTATTCTTGCCAAAGTTTGTTTAAAGAAAAATAAAGACATCTTCTTTAACTCTGATGTCTCTTCAACACCTCCCCCGCCCCCCCCAAAAAAGAAAGAAATCCTTCTGAAGGTGAAGAAATATCTGCCTGTCTTACATACTTTGCATACCTCTTGGGCTCCTTACAGATGAAGGCTGTAGAGTTTCTGCGCAACCAATGTGTAGAAGGTGTTTTTTGATTTTGTAATAGGGTGCTGCATCTTGGGGCACACACAGGCACTCTAATGTGTCCAATAAGGTCTTTAGGGCACCCGTTAAACATTGAGGCTATAGTTGCAGATCATATGGTTGCTCCTAATCATGTTCCTAGAGGAAAGAGTATCCAGGGCTTTGTCTCTTAAGCAGGGAAATGAAAGGAAACCTTTCAGACTAACTAAGCACGAGGTCTGTGAGGAAGGATACCTGCATGGAATAGGCTTGGGGGAGACTTACCTGAGCAGGGATGGGAATCTCTGCAGACAAGTGGTTCTTAAGACCCTTAGGAGGCAATGAGACTATTTAAATATTTGCTTCTAATTTAACTGAGCAAAGAAACTGGAGTATTCTTTGTGTCATTATTTCACTTTCCCCAGCAGGTAGACCAGCCCATTAACCTGTAGTTTCTAGTGGTTAGTTGCATATTATTTGGACCTAGTCCTTCTCTTGATGCATTTGGATGTTAATAAAGAATATCCAGATAATGTGTATATGTACATCATGAAAAAGCAAGAGAGTTTAGTTCTGTGCATTGGTCAGACACCTACTTAATGCAAGTTCTAAAGAATACTGGAAAAATAATACAAAGACAACCCCTCCCCCCCCCCCCCCCACACACACACACACCTTTTTTGAGTGCAAAGTTCACTTGATTTCCGATTTACCTTGAAGTACTAATACTTTTTAAAAACTGTTTTAGTTATGAGTAGGATAAATCTTACATAAAATGGGGACAACTAACTTTGAATTGTTGATAGTAGTAGAAAAACAGTAGGAGAATTGGAGCAACTGAGACTAAGGAATATTCAAATAGGTTTTCCCATCTGGTACAAAATAGATGAAAAAATGAGTTTGGTGAGTTTTGTTCATATCAAAAAATCATATGTCGTCTGCATGTTTGGCACACTTTCAGTTCCAGAGACCCAGGTTGAAAATAGATAGTGGAGTTGGAACCTACCAGGTCCTAATCTGGCTAAAACTCCTGAACCAAACCTTTTGAGATAGGGATGACCTAACTCAAGGCTGTCCAACTTCTGATTCCTGCCTCCATTCCCCACAAATCCCTAGAAGTCCCAAGGGCCACACTGCCCCACTCCCAGGGGCAGGCACAGGAAACAGAAGCTGGAGGAGGGAGGGAGAGCCTGGAGCTGCAGCGGTGGCAGCAGGAGAGTGATGGAATGGAATGGCACCCAGACTGGGAACTCAGGGGGCCACAGGTTAATTTCTCAGGATGGCAGGGAGATGCTACCTGAAAAATGAGAGAGACAGAGAGAACATCCCTTGTACAAGGGGGGAAAAACCATATTTTGCTGTAGATAAATGCTGTATCTGCACCAAATGCACAAATAAAAAAAAAAATTCTGGCAACTGTAGTAGTGGTGGTGGTGGTGGTGGAATGGACCTTGGAAGATTCCACATGGCAAGTGAGCACCTGACATCTGAGCTGAGCTCCAGAGTGAACTGCAAAGGTGCAGGTCTTTATGTGCAGCAGTCTGAAGTTTGGCCAGTCATGGTTAAAACATCAGGTCTTTGATGTACCTTCCAACCAGATCCATGAGAGATCTGAACCAAGTAGCACTTAAGTCTTTGGAAACCACAAACGGAAAAAGGCTGAAACCAGCCACGTGTTTAAGAGCGTGTTTGTTGACTGTGGGCATTTCCTTTTTCTGTATGGCCTATTTCCCTTTAGTCAAATGGGTATTTCATTGTTGAAAATGAGACATAAGAGGGCACCAGCCAGGAACAAGTAAGTACAAAATATGGATACTACAGTCTGCTGGAAAGGCTACATAATCAAAGGTAAACACAGGTCAAGATATGCCCAGCCTGTGGCAAATGCACTAATTGCATACTATACACCAGTGGTGGGCAAAATCCCACCCACAGGCTAAATTAGTCTTGCCAGTTGATTGCGTCTGCCCCTGAGGTGCTCCAGCCCACACCTGCCCCATGCTGGCTGGTGGCCCTGGCTCCCCACCAGCCAGTGCCCAGCTTCCTGGTAGGGCTACTCCTGTTGCTGCTGCAGTTGCCAAGGTACTGCTCAGTTCCCCTTGCCTCCAACAGCTCCTCTGGGCAGCAGTTAGTATGGGGAAGTGGCAGCGGTCATTCCCAGCCAGGCAAGGGGGAAGCTGCAGCTGAGTGGCTCCTGTCCCAGCATGCAGGATTCCAGTACCAGCTCCCTGCCGACTTCCACCCACTTGGTTGCCTGGTACGATGAGCAGCCATCTGCAGGTGGCAGATGGGGCTTGGCCCCATGTGGAGTGCCATAGAGGTAGCTGTGGGCTAGATGTGGGGCAGGCAGGGGTGAGCAGCACCTGTACCTGCACTGCCTGGGTGAGCTCTGCTGCACATGCCCCCTGTCAAGTCCCCTTCCCTCCCCTCCCCCCACTCCTGGCAGCTCCTTGGACTTAGCATGCAGGCAGCACCCCCACACACATGCGCAGCCACCCCCATTACCCCACACCCCCCTCACACACCCTCCCCCCAATATACAAAAGTACAACTTTATTTTGAGCTATTATGCAATTGCCTCTGTATATACTACTTAAAAAAACATAAATGAGGACAGAATTATTTTTTTGAAATAAAGTTAAAATGTTATAATAGATGTTTGGTTTTTAATAAATGATTTATTTTTTTATCTATAACTTAAAATGATATCTTTTAAAAGATTTTATATGCTTGGCACTCAACAGATCACCCAAACTCATTAAGTGGCCCACCAGCCGAAATAATTGCTGACCCCGCCATACACAATGCCTATTGCAGTGGATACATCTAAAATGTATATTTGTTGAAAATGACTAGTGATAGTTTGAACTCAGAAGTGAGCTGCAGAAGTTCAGATATTTGAACTCTAAATTTATCACCTAGTGTATTTTCCTTTGGTCCCAGCCAGAAATACAGAAATGCAAAGCAATTTAAAAATAATTTTATTAATAAGTTTTATATAAATTTAGAGGGCATGACTGGATTAATTTTCTTCCAAAGCAGCTGCCTTAACCCTTATTAAGTGGATTGTAATTTGCATCAGTCAGTCATATCAACTTTAATTTTTAGG